TGGGTGCTGGTAAAGTGTTCTCAATGTTTCCATGATTGGGTGATCGAGGGGAACGAAAATCTTTCATTTGTTCAATTGGGGCCGGTAGTGAAGCAAAAGATGGTGGTGCGGCAGCTGGTATTGAAGTTGGAGGTGGAGGAATATCAAAGGTGGAACTCCTCTAACCGGAAGCAGCAACTGGAGCCCGGAAATAGGACTCGACATTTTCAACCATTTCCATCTCTGTAAAGAGTCCTCGAATGTCTTCCGATTGAGCATCTTGTGGAGTAGGGGAGTTCTTCTTCTTCTTCTTTGAAGAAAAATTGCTTCATCATCATCTTCGATTTCATCTTTATCAAGGACCATTGTGGCCGGTCCTACTGGGGTGTTTTTTATCGGAGGCTTCTCCTGAGTCTCAACCTTGGAGGTACGTCTTTTTTTTGGTTTTTTCTCCTTAGGCTGGGGACTCAATAAAGAAAGGCCTTCACCGGAAGCAAGAATGGCATCACGAGCCCTCTTCCGGTCAAGGGTTTCTTGAATTTGTTGATGAGCCATCCTTGGGCCATGGACTCATGGGAAACCTCGACAGCAGGGAAGGCAGAAGACCCCTTCATAAGGCCTACGTATTATGAAAGGAAGTCAACAAATTTATATTGCATCATGTTGAAGATTAAAAAGAAAAAAGGAAAGTATTACTTACCATGGTTCTTTGTCTTCTAGTTGAATTTGGATGAAATTTCTTTTTGCTTATGGGAGTCTGGTGTGAAAATATCTAAAAAAAATTGTATTCATTGGGTTAGGTTCTGAAAAATTGGAGGAACCCAACGAGTAGCTAAAATGAGAGAAGGGAAAGTTAGAAAAGGAGAGAATTTTCTTTAGCGCAATGAAAGATGGATATTCAAAAAACTTACGAGTGAAGTTTTAGGATTCAGGGATAGGAGGTGTTGTCGCTGTTAGAATGTCCCCGGTAGCAATAACAACAAACCTCACCATCCAACCACGGTCATTATCATCATTAACACTGGTGATGATGGCATGGTGATCGCATTTGCTGAGTTTGATCATGCATCCATAGAAAATATTTGGAGCGTAAAGGTTGATCAAATGAGAAAGATTAAAGGTTTCACCGGCCCGGGAGCACAGAAACCGCAGGCAAGCTACCATTCGCCATGTTGACGGACCTACCTGAGCCAAGCAAACTTGGTAGGCAAAACTCTAAAATAATGGGATTGATTTCTCAGCCCATTCTTAAAGTGAAAAGATACGTATAAATGTACATGTACCCTGGTTTACTAAAAGTGACCCTTTTCGCTTCATTAGGGGATAAAACTTCAATGTTGTTCCAACCATAATCTTCTTTCATAATGGGAATACTAGCAGGATGAATGGAAGAACAATATCTACTGACAAGTTTGTTCCTATCATTTTTAGGGTTAGGGGGTTCCTGTTGAACTTGGAGATCCGTCTCACTATTTAGTTGAGACAGGATGATTTTCCTAGTAGTAGGAGGACCGACATCGGCTTCCTTATATTTATTCCTCTTGGATGGGTGGCCACCGATGCAAGTGCCTAAGTAACTAGGGGAAGAGGTAGTAGAAGATATGGTGATGGAAAATTTGAATATGAAAGTTCTATTGAGAAATACGGAGTTGCAGAAAAGCTCTAAGGAAGTAGAAGACATGGTAGAAGACATGGTGATGGAAAATTTGAATATGAAAGTTCTACTGAGAAATACGGAGTTGCAGAAAAGCTCTAAGGAAATTAAAAGAAGAAAGGTTTGAAAAAGTGAAAGGTAAAAGTGGTAAGAAGGGGAGAAGTTTATAGGCGGCATAGTACAAGGCTATTCTAGTTAACTGGTAAAAGTATCTGACGAATCACGGGATAACACGTATTCGGCTCATTAAATGCAAAGAGACGTGCGTCCTTTCAAGTGTCAAAAATCGTTCAAGAACTTTTCCGCCAAGAAAAGAAGTCTTATCTACTTCCCAGTAATATAAAGTTTAGTTACCGAAAAGTAGGGGGACTTCCCGGTAACACTTGTTTAATACAAGTGTGGAATTTGAATTGTTAAAGTGTATGTATTAAAGTGCTTAGGGATGTGTATTCAATAATGTCCAAACTGTATCTTGCACGTCTTGCAGCCTACACTACAACCAAATAAAGTCTTACTTGATCTTAGACTAAGTAAGCTTGAATTAGTAGAGTATTACACCAAAGGTAAATCTATGGTACATTTTTTGTGGCACATGAATTTTTTTTTTGGAGTGAGTTAATTCTTTCTATTCAGAGTTCCTAATTGTTCTTGAATTTTATTATATGTGGGACTACTCTCTGTTATTTGTTGTGAGAGACACATGACTTGTGAGGGATATATGATGTTCTTTAGCTTCTTTATTAGAGTAAGTGAGCAAGTTTTGAAAAAATTGGCGCTTTTGAGTCGAGTCTTGAGGCTCGGATGCTACAATATGGTTTTATCTTGTTTTAAATATTCTTTGCATGACGAGTTAAGAGAGTTATTTGAAAAAGGTCTTCCTTCTTTAGAGTATAGTTTGTATTGTTTGAGGACGAGCAATGGTCTAAGTGTGGGACGTTGATGGCATGCTAGAAATATGGATATTTTATGTTACTTCACCTATTATTTACTACACTTTAATTATGTTTGAGCTAAAATATGAAGAATTTGTACTCATTACGTATTTTCTGTTGTGTAGGCTGAGATTCCGAGTTAAGATGAGTTTTTGAAGCTAAATTAGATAAAAGAAAATTTTGGAGTCAGAGTAGAAGTTCGAGAGTTAAGTCGGATTTGAATTGGGGAGCCGAAGACCAAATGCACATACAAAAAGTTAGAAGAAAAATGCTCAAGGCCATAAAAGGGCCTATCACGGCATGAGATGTGACGTGTCCAAAGAGGGACTAAGGATCTCATCAAAACTAAGAAAACATCCGGGAAAATTAGCAAGGCACTTCGTGTTGGACGACATGATGTACCTCACGTCCAACGTAGTGCTTCCCATTTTGGTTGTCAGGCAGCCAGAGGCGGACCCAGGTTTTGAGCACGATGGGGCACCACTGTATGCTACTCCCTCCGGTCTAAAATAAGTGATTTTTTGGATGTTTTCACACAAATTAAGAAACTCACCTTTTAGCATTAATTAGCAATGAAATTGACCATATTAACCTTTACTATCTCACATAAACACTCCTAACACATATTCCAACACTATTTACTTCAAGGACAATGTAGGAAAAAAATAATTAATTCATTCTTGAAATCTGAAAAAATCACTTATTTTGGACCACAAGAAAAAGGCCAAAAAATCACTTATTTTGGACCGGAGGGAGTAATCACTAGCGATAAAATTCAGCATGCGATTCTTTGAAAACTTAATATTTATGATGACTTATCATCCAAGTATTAACAAAAAATATTCTAAAGAAAAAGAAAGAACCGAATATATATATATATATATATATATATATATTCGCAAAGTTCTAGAGAGAGAGAGATATTTCTTCGCAAATGGGTGCTTGGGAAGGGAAGATGTTTAATTAAGCATGTTTCATACTTTAAAATTCTAGTTTTTAATTTTAAAAAAAGGAGCAAGGATCTAAAGGGCGTTAAAACTTAAAATTATCAAAGACCTACTAAAGAAATCAAGATTAAGAGTATGGTAATACTAAAAGAACTGAAGAAGAGTGTCAAACTCTTAATTGTCATTGCCGAGTCAGATTGTTGAAGAAGGTTGTCGCAAAAGGATTTGTATTTTCTTATTTGTGGACCGATAAGTTGCAATTTAAGGCTTTTAATTTTAAGGGAGGAATTTGAAAAAGAAGAAAATGAATTAAGTTTACTTATGTGTTAGTACTAAACTATAATTGAATAAAAAAAAGAGATTAAAAAAAGCAATTTGCTATTAAATATAAATTACATTGTATTCAAAGAACTAAAATATTAATCAAGTTGACTATTATATATTAGTACTAAATTACAACTGAATTCCAAAAAATAAGATAAAAGTAAAAAATAAAGGAATTTGCATAAATACCTTCACTTCGGTTAGCTTTGCTTGACTAATCGATGAAAAACAATTAAATATAAAATATATTGTACTCAAAGAAAAAGAGGAAAGGAGTAGAAAAAAGTTGGGATTCGAACCTACGTTTGTATCGGTGCAGAACAGGAGTTTGTATCGTAACATTATTTTTGATATTTTCTACTTCTTCAAACTTAAGTGTGATGAATTTCTCCATATCTATGGAGTAGTTCTTCCCTAAGGTTTTGACGGATATGGTATTTTGAGAAATATTTATGGATTTAACTTTAATTTTATTGCATGAATTCGTGTATGGAGCTTTGGATTGATTGTGAATTTAGTCACCGGTTTATTTAATCGAAAGAGGAATATTTTGGTATCTTTGTCTTATTTTATTTAGTTTAATTTAGTAATTCTTCTAAGTAATCGTGAGAGCTTTTTGAATCGTTAATTAAACCAAGTTAGGAGAATATTCGAGAGACGTTTTCCTAAAGACTAGTCCACTAATGTGTTCTTACATATCTTCACAGTGTATCATATTAATTTATCTCATAGAGCTTACATTTTATCGAGATATGGATCTTGACCTTACGAGTAAGCTAATTATCTAGCGAAAGTGCTTTTCTAATTAATTAGTCAAACACAAACTAATTCTCGCCAAAAGCACTTTTTTAAAGAAGTTATACACATCGATAGAGTAGAGGGACTTGCTTGCCGTCCGGGCATCCTCTGGATTCCAGAATTAAAGATATACAAGAAACATGTATACGATATCTCAATGACAACTTGTAATTATAATCTGAACAGCTGCTGGAATATACCTTAGTACTGCACTGACGATTCAATTGGCTTCAAGTTTTGGATTTTCAATCACATCCTTTTAGCATATCTTAATCTCCCAAGTTAGACAAAGAATATGACAACTAAATACCGGATAAAAAATAAAAAAAACAATAAAATCATAAATCTGCTTTTGATATTCCTTCCTTGCGTGTGAGGTGAGCACAACCAAAACAAGCCTCCACCCAGCCCAAATTACAAGAGTCATTCCTTTCAGCATATCTACCAGTAAAACATATACAGTCGTCCACGTCTTATATATATATATATATATATATTCAAATCCAAACACACCGCCATAACTATTTCATCCATTTCCTTTCTTAATTGTTTGATATTTTTGGAGCTAATTAAGAAACCATGGAAGATAGGTCGGAGATAGTATTTTTCGACGTAGAGACAACAATTCCGACACGAACCGGACAGGGATATGCACTCTTGGAATTTGGGGCAATTCTCGTTTGCCCGAGGAAGCTTGTGGAGCAAGAGAATTACTCCACCCTCGTACGACCTGACGACCTCTCTCTCATTTCCCAACTTTCTGTTCGGTGCAATGGTATTACCAGAGATGCTGTCACTTCTGCCCCTACCTTCGCTGATATCGCCGACAAAGTTTTTGACATTCTCCATGGTCAGTTTCTAACCCCTACACCCACCTCTTTCATCTCTTTCACATGTGCATCTACTGATTTATAGAGGAGTAAGATTCTTCCTTTTTTGGAATGGCTGAAATTTTTTAATTGAACACCAGATAAAACCATTTTGATTTTTGCTCTCAAGGGAATTGTTAAGTCGTTGAACTATAGGAGTAACAATCTCAGGTTCGAAATTTAGCTGTAACACTCTGTACGAGTCTATATGCACCAATCTTGATGGGCATGCTTACGTCAGATTTTGCTCTATTTTTTTCCTGCGGTAGAAATCAGATAAAATGGGTTGAAAAAAAATAAGAAAAAAGGAATACTTAAGCTGATTCCAAGATATATGATTGAATCAAAGTGATCAGTCATCCAAATTATCTATAAAAAAAATAGATAGAATAACTTCCACCTTGTCAACTGCTAATGAAAGAACGAAATCCGGGTATATACCAATACCTATTACGGGTAAAAATATGAAGATCAAAAGGAATAAATCTCACGGTCCAGAACATAAGCCAGATGACGGAACGAGGAGACCTAGGATGTAGAAGATCATAACATAAGTGATTCGGCAAAGTTGGAATTAAATTATAGGGAAAGAAAAAGCAACGAGCTTATGTTCTCAATTTGAATGATTCACGATCTAATTAGACGTTAAAAATTTATTAGTGCCTGATGCGAGAAGTCTTGATGGGCATGTTTACTTGGCACCTTTGCTAGTGGGTTGTACCAGACTGCTTGGTAAATAGACCATTTTAAGTTTCCTTCCCTTACCTTCCTATGGAGGTAGGGATTCAGAATTTTAAGTTAGTTGATATGGAGTACCATAATCCGATCTACAAATCTGTGGTAGTGTGTGCAAACTTACTACACATATTTTATACAGATATATTTTTTATAAACATATATTTTTAACAGCTGCTTTTGGTAAAGGTACTTTTGGATCAAATTTATTGGACATATGTTGAGTATGATGTTGTTATCTTTTATGTGGAATTGGCTGATTTTGCTTTTGCTCTATGCTTGTTATGTTGTTTGTGTAGGGAGGATATGGGCGGGCCACAATATTCTGAAATTTGATTGTCCAAGGATTCGGGAGGCGTTTGCTGGAATTAATAGGCCTGCACCAGAACCCAAGGGAACAATTGATACACTTGCTTTGTTGACACAAAGATTTGGAAGGAGAGCTGGTAACATGAAGGTATCGAAATTTATCTGCCTTCTTCATGAAAAAGTAGGGAAATTAGATAATTTGACTCGGAGACAGTTGGCTTAAAGAATTCTCAATTGTTGGAGAAGTGTTTTTTTTTTTTTTTTGCCTTCATTTGGAAAACACTTATGGGCCTTCTGGAATTCTGGAGGTTATGGTTTTTGCCAAATTCAAGTTAATTATGTACATGCTAGAGTGGAAATGCTAAGCAACACATTTTGACATGAATAATTGCTTGTAAAGATCTTTAAAATCAGCATTCTGTTATACTGTTGTCGAGCTGTAGCATTGCCTTTTTTGTTTCCCTATACTTGTACAGATGACTTTTCGCTGGTCGGTGGGTTCTTATGTCAAAATTAGAAGATGAACTCCCAGGAATGCAATTTTCAGGCTGCACTTTTTTTTTGTATGCTTTTTTCTTTTTTCTTTTTTCTTTTTTCTTTTTTCTTTTTTCTTTTTAATGTTTTGACTTCATTGAAGGTAATAAACTAAAACAAAATAGAAATCTTCCTTTTGCATAGAATCAAACCGTCTATATGACAAAATTTCTGGTTTGCTGTGAGGAGAAGTGTATTAACTGTTTTTCCTTTCAAATTTGTTCGCTTTTTAATATGTTGATATTTCCATACATAAGCATTGGAGAGTATTAGTGAGGGAGTAAATAGGCCAATTTTGCTAATAGGAGAGGTTAATGCAATCCTTTGTACTGCTAGGGAGGTTTTGTGTACCGCCAAGAAATGTTACAGGCTATAAGTGAAGTGATTTCTTTTCAAATGTTTGAATACTGAATTGGTTTCATTTTGTTTGCAGATGGCCTCTCTTGCTACTTATTTTGGCCTTGGACAGCAAACACATAGGTAACAGAGTTTTTCTCCCTTCTTAAAATCATTAGCTTAATGCTCTTTGGCTATCCTCTTCATGGGCATGTTTCGTCTGTGGATAAAATATAAGGACATCAAGTATGCATGAATGAGTCAAAGTAGTACGTTATGTGTTGGGTTAATAGAGAACAAACACTTGATAAAGTCATCATCCTTTTATTGAACTTCTCTTGTACTTGGTTAGTGTCTTATAAAGTGTAAGATTAAATCGACTAATTCTTCTATGTAACAAAAGGAATATGATATAATATTACTCTATATTGCATTTGGTTTTGAGAATATTGACTAAGGCGACTACTCTTAGGAATAATTAAATTTATCTAATAAAATAGACATTCATATAATCTCAATTCTAATAGCCTGTTCGGCGAAGCTTCTTTTTTGAAAAAAGTGCTTTTGACTAGAAATAGAAGCAGTTTTTGAGAAGCAGAAAAAGTAGCTTATCCCCTAAAGCACTTTTTTGAAAAGCACTTTTAAGAAAAATACACTTAAAAGCACTTTCTAAAAGCTTGGCCAAACACGAATTGCTGCGTAAAAGTGCTTTTCAAATTAAGTAGCCAAACACAAACTGCTTTTCACAAAGAGCACTTTCTTGAAAAGTACTTTTGAGAAAAGCACTTTTTAAAATAAGCTGATTGTAGAATCTTGACCAAGCAGGCTATAAGTAATGCATTTTTATCGACATAATTATGTTAACACCCATTATAAAAATAAAATAACAATCAAACTAGAGCAAGAGAATCTAAGGTGTTCCAACTATATTATATACAATAGAAGCACTTCGTATAAAGTGAAGAAATGGCTGGGCCAAATTCGTAAGAATTACCTTTACAGAAAGCTTGGATCAGTATATGGACTTTTTGAGTTTGTCTGGAGGGAAACATGATAGTCCGTTGTATGGTATGTTGTTGAGTCTTGTACTATCCTGTACCATCTTGGTATTTCATCAATAAGAACTTATCAAAATAAAATTCTGATTGGCCGAGACTCTTTTATGGGATTAATAATCCCATTTCAGCTTATAATTAAGTAGTTCCTTAATTTAGCGTAATAAGTGGTCTAGCGATTAAGATGCTGCTATTGGATTTTTTTTTTGGTATCAGAATGAAATAAGTCATCCCTGTGGACCAGGCACATATTATCTTATTAACTTGTGGACTGGACTGAAGAAACGGGATAGGGTGTTATTGTATTTACTTGGAACTTTTCAGCTAGAGGTGTCTTGCGCAGTATGACCTGATAGGCAAAATTGAATATGTTTTTGTTGTTTGGTTCATGTCGTTCTCCTCTAGTTTGTTTTTCGACATAACTTCCCTGACTTTAGCTTTTATTTAGTTAATTTTGCTTTAAGTCCCTGGTGTGTGTGAGACATTCACTTTGCTACTTTCAGCAGATTGTTAGTTAACTGTCAAATAACCCAAAAATGTGTTACTATTTTTTTCCAATAGGAAACACAATCTATGCTATTGAAGGTGATTTAGATGGTTTTTCTCCGTGCAGTGTGAACTGCAAGCTTGTTGGGGTATTTTTTCTCACTTTCTCAACCTTGATGTTCTACTTTTCAGGAGTTTGGATGATGTTCGAATGAATTTTGAAGTACTAAAATACTGTGCAACTGTTTTGTTTTTGGTAAGCTGGTCCTCGACCGTACTTTTGTTTTTTTTCTCATCCAGTCTAGGTTGCTAATATTAACAATGATTCTCAAACTTGGAGAATCTTAAGCGTTTGGATATGAATTGATTGATATTTGGAAAAAAGTAGTATTTGAAGTTAAGTTTGAAAAAAGATACTTGGAAGTCTAATTGGACATGCTTTTGTTTTTTCTTTTCGTCGCATTATTTTCCTTTTTCCTATTTGTCTGTACGGCCAGCCATATGTGTTAGAAGTACAGTGCAACAGATCTAAAAGAAGTGTACTATTTTTCTTTCTTTCATATATTAAGGCCTATTGCCGCTGTGAGAATGCACGGGAGAAAATATATTATTGATGTATTGACATATGTTACAGTGAGCCCTATATATATATACACACATAACATGTCCTACTCCTAATATATATTGGATTAGGGTTATTTATTTACTCCTATTTACATGACATTCTAACACTCCCCCTCAAGCTGGTGCATATAAATCATATGTACCGAGCTTGTTACATATGTAGTTAATACGAGGACTAGTGAGAGACTTGGTGAAAATATCTGCAAGCTGATCATTCGACTTCACAAACTTGTAGCAATATCTCCCGAGAGTATCTTTTCTCTGACAAAGTGACAGTCAATCTCAATGAGCATCTTAATTATCACACACAAGTCCCATCTGACTAATCTCACCAAATTTCAACTCCTTGAGCAACTGTTTGATCCAAATTAGCTCACATGTCGCCATAGCCATCGCTCGATATTCTGCTTCTGCACTAGACCGAGCAACCACATTCTGTTTCTTGCTCTTCCAGGACACCAAATTTCCTCCTACCAAGACACAATATCCAGACGTAGAACGTCTATCAGAAGGTGATCCTGCCCAATCAGCATCTGAGTATCCAACGATCTGCTCATGGCCTCGACCCTCAAACAATAAACCTTTGCCTGGAGCTGATTTTATATACCGAAGAATGCGAACAACTGCATCCCAATGACTATCACACGGAGAATCCATAAACTGACTCACAACACTCACAGAAAAGGAAATGTAAGGTCTTGTCACTGTAAGGTAATTTAATTTACCAACCAACCGTCTATATCTTGCAGGATCGCTAAGAGGCTCCCCCTGTCCTGGCATAAGTTTAGAATTCGGATCCATCGGAGTGTCAACCGGTCTACAACCTGTCATTCCTGTCTCTTCAAGAATATCTAAGGCATACTTTCGTTGTGAGATCACAACACCTGAGCTAGACTGAGCGACCTCAATACCCAGAAAATACTTTAGTTTGCCCAGATCCTTAGTCTGAAAGTGTTGCAAGAGATGTTGCTTCAATTTAGTAATACCATCCTGGTCATTGCCGGTAATAACAATGTCGTCAACATAGACCACCAGATAAATACAGAGACTCGAGGCAGAATGCCGATAGAATACAGAGTGATCAGCTTCACTCTGAATCATGCCAAATTCTCGAATAACTGTGCTGAACTTACCAAACCAGGCTCGAGGAGACTGCTTTAGACCATAAAGTGACCGACGCAAGCGACATACAAGGCCACGAGACTCCCCCTGAGCAACAAACCCAGGTGGTTGCTCCATATAAACTTCATCCTCAAGGTCACCGTGTAAAAAAGCATTCTTAATGTCCAGCTGATAGAGGGGCCAATGGCGAACAGCAGCCATGGATAGAAAAAGGCGGACTGATGCTATCTTAGCCACAGGAGAGAAGGTATCACTGTAATCGAGCCCAAATATCTGAGTATATCCTTTGGCAACAAGACGAGCCTTAAGACGATCAACCTTACCATCCGGACCAACCTTGACTGCATACACCCAACGACAACCAACAGTAGATTTACCTGAAGGAAGAGGGACGAGCTCCCAAGTACCACTCGTATGTAAAGCAGACATCTCGTCAATCATAGCCTGTCGCCATCCTGGATGAGACAATGCTTCACCTGTAGACTTAGGGATGGAAACAGAGGACAAAGAAGATAGAAAAGCATAATAGGGTGATGACAAACGATGATAACTCAAACCGACATAATGGGGATTAGGATTAAGGGTGGCCCGTATACCTTTCCGAAGTGCAATCGGTTGATTAAGAGGAGACAAGTCCGCAGTATTAGCAGGGTCAGGTGCAGGACGTGAATCAGCTGGACCTGATGCTGGGCGCGGACGACGATGATATGTCAAAAGTGGTGTTCCTGTGGCAGGGAGTCTAGGAGGAGCCACACTAGACTCCTCAACGGCTGGAATGGATAAGACTTCTATAGCGGAAGGTGAAGGAGGAGCTATAGGAGACTCGGGTAAGACTTCTGTGGCGGAAGGTGAAGGAGGAGCTATAGTAGACTCCTTAAAGGTCGGTATAGGTAAGACCTCAGATATATCAAGGGGGTCAGAAAGGTCAGAAGAGGTAAAGAAAGGTTTAGACTCAAAAAATGTGACGTCAGAGGACATAAAGTACCTACGAAGATCAAGTGAGTAACAACGATAGCCCTTCTGAACACGAGAATAACCAAGGAAGACACACTTGAGAGCACGAGGAGCTAACTTATCTTTCCCAGGGGCTAGGTTATGAACGAAACAAGTGCTCCCAAAAACACGAGGGGGAACAGAGTATACGGGTGATTGGGGACACAATACTGCATACGGTATCTGATTCTGGATGGGAGAGGAAGGCATCCGATTAACTAAATAACAAGCTGTGAGAACTGCATCGCCCCAAAAACGCAGCGGAACATGAGATTCAATGAGAAGTGTGCGAGCAGTCTCAATGATGTGCCTATTCTTTCTCTCTGCAACCCCATTTTGCTGAGGGGTATAAGGACAAGAGGTCTGATGAATAATTCCTTGAGAAGTCATAAACTGCTGAAATTGAGAGGATAAATATTCTAAGGCATTATCACTGCGAAAAGTGCGAATGGAAACACCAAATTGATTTTTAATTTCAGCACAAAAATTCTGGAATATAGAAAACAACTCAGAACGATCTTTCATTAAGAAAATCCAAGTACATCTTGAATGATCATCAATAAAACTAACAAAATAACGAAATCCCAAGGTTGAACTGACTCTACTAGGACCTCATATATCAGAATGAACTAAAGAAAAAATAGACTCTGCATGACTCTCAATACTACGAGGAAAGGAGGCTCGGGTATGTTTCCCGAGCTGACATGACTCACACTCTAATGTGGATAAACTAGATAAACTAGGCACCATCTTCTAAAGCTTGGATAAGCTTGGATGTCCTAAACGTCTGTGAATTAGGTCCGGAGGATCTGTAACTAGACATGCCTTGGAGGAATTTAGTGAGTTAAGGTAGTAAAGGCCTTCTGATTCAAGTCCTGTTCCAATCGTCTGCCCCGTACTGCGGTCCTGCATAATAAAGGAATCATCAATAAAATATATACCACAATGGAGGGCACGAGTCAAACGACTAACAGATGCAAGATTAAAAGGACAGCCAGGGACATAGAGAACGGAATCTAGAGTGACAGCGGGTAGGGGATTCGCTTGTCCAACTTCTTTTGCTTTGGTTTGAGACCCATTGGCTAAAGTAACAGTGGGAAGAGACTGTGAATACGCAATATTTGACAAAAGTGATTTATTACCAGAGATATGATCAGAAGCGGCCGAGTCCACAACCCATTGTCCAAGAGTACTAGACTGGGAAACACAAGCAAAAGAATTACCAGCAACAGAAGTATCAGTCTGAGCGACAGAAGCTACTTGTGGAGATGTCTGCTTACTTGCTCGATACTGAAGGAACTCATTATACTCCCCTTCAGATAAAGAAAATCCCTGGTTACCTGTAGTCTCAGTCTGAGCAACATAAGCATTTTTGGGTGGGCGGCCATGTAAAGAATAGCACACGTCACGAGTGTGTCCAAGTTCATGACAATAAGAGCACTTGGGTCTAGATCTTCCAAAACGACCTCCTCCTCGTCTATTCTCCATAGTATGAGATGCCCGATTGTCCACTGATTGGGATACGTGGACAGATGAGTCAAGTGTCTGTGATGAGCTCACTAGGGTGACTAGGTGCTGCAGCAAGGCGAAGTAATCGAGAGATAATTCATCAACTGTGGGGACGGTTGGACTAGCCAAAATCTGGTCACGTACTGAATCAAGGTCATTAGGGAGTCCAGCGAGTGTAAGAACTAGAAACATCTTCAGTCGTTGCTCTTGTTGTTTTTCAATACTAGCAGAAACTGGCATCAACGTCTCAAATTCTTCCATGACTGCCTGAACTTGTCCCAAGTAAGTAGACATATCTAATTCTTGTTTCTTCAAGTTTGTCATTCGCGATATTACATCATAGAAACGAGATATGTCATTAGTGATAGATTACGAGCCTTTTCCCAAACTAAATAACGTGTCTGGAATGGACGGAACAAGGGCATCAACTTGGAATCAATAGATCGCCACAGGATACTACATAACTGAGCATCGACCTTCTCCCACTGTGTTTTGGCCTTTTCATCACCTTCGCTAGCCTTTTTTGTTAAATGATCTTGAACTCCTTGACCTTTACACCACAACTCGACAGATGAAGCCCAATCTAAGTAGTTTGAACCTCCCATTAAAGGTTCTGAGATAATCATAACACCGGAACTGCCAGAACCCGGGTTTCTAGACCCGAAAGCATCGACTCCCAAAGACATGGTTGGATTATCACCAAATAACAAAAAGAATCAACTGAAAATTCTCTGAAACAGATGAAGAAAACACTGTGTTTGCCGGGAAAGTACTGTAGCTGCCGGAAAAATCATTGTGGTCGCCGGAAAAACTCAAAGTGGTCGGAATTGAAAAATAAAATTATGGGTAGGCTCGGAATTTGAGGGCGATCCAACTGCCCTGAAGGAACTTCGTCAAAAAATGGCCGGAAAGTGGTGCACGCGCCGGCGCGTGGGCTCACGCGCATGAGCTTCTGGTGGCGCGTGGAGGCGCGTGGGGTACTGTTTGCCGGAGATTTTTTGTGGGGTTTGGTCGCCGGACAGTGGCGACTCTTGTGGTAGTGTTGGATTTTGCACAACACTGACAGAGACAAAGCAGACGCAAACAGGCTTGAAAAAGTCGCCGGAAAAAAAGGGTTCCGGTGACTGATTTCTCTTCCCGGAATTGCTGGAATTTATGCACAGCGATAAACCTCTCACAATTGCTCTGATACCATGTGAGAATGCACGGGAGATAATATATTATTGATGTATTGACATATGTTACAATGAGCCCTATATATATACACACACATAACATGTCCTACTCCTAATATATATTGGATTAGGGTTATTTATTTACTCCTATTTACATGACTATTCTAACAGCCGCAATGTCATAACTGTAGACTACTTGCATTAGATTGTTATACCTTCCCTTTGTGTAACTTCATCCTTGGTTAGCCCCTCCTACACCCTCTACCCCAACGCCTCAACTTCAATAAATGAAGAGGGAAAAAGTTAAAAGAAAACCTGACACCCAAAGCAAGTATGGCCTGCAGCTGGAAAAATTCTCATCCATTCTCTTCTGATTTCTTCTCACGAATCTCTTTTGTAAATTAAGGCAATATTCCTTCTGCCTGCCTTAACTGAGGTGTGAATTGGCTTTTGAAACTGACAACTGTGACAGGCTAGAATTCAGCATCAAGTGTAATATGATGGAAAAATCTGTGTTATTATGTTTAATGGTTGCATGAAAATATATGAGAAAGAGGAACTATTCCATTAGTGAAACAAGATTACTGCAAGCCTTTCAGTTTAAGCTATGCAGTGCGGACGCTGAGCCTCTGATTTTGATTATTGGGGCCACCTTTTGACAGGCTGCCCAATTTGGACTTGCAAAGGGCTTTAGAGCATAGTTGCATATTTGTTGATAAAATTAAAATGTTGAATCAAAGTTGAAGTTCGATAACTGATCAAAGATGAACCCAAGAAAAGTAAGTGAATTGTTGCAAATCTAAAGTAAAGATAGAAGTGTCAACTCACTAACAGCTTTTAAACTTTTGTTGAGTCATAAGGTTCAAAATGGTATCAGATCTGGAGCTCAAATCTTAAGACAATTCTTCAGCGATCTAAAACAAATTATAAAAATGTCATTTCTCTTCCTCTACAAAAAATCATTTCTCTAATACAGACAAGCTTTTAGATATGGCAGTTGACACTGTACAATCTAACTGCATGGCCATGCTACCGCATCTTACAAGGATATATATTGATATTTTTCTCTCATTTCTAGAACTTATGTTCTGAGCCGAATAGACAATTGAACTTTGCCGTGGGTTGAATAGCTAAATTGTTGTACCTGCAGGAATCCAGCCTGCCTGAGATATTAACTGAGAACAGTTGGGTGTCTCCTAATACTGCTATAAGAAGTCGCACTAATGGAAATGCTGTTCTGGAGGGGATGGGCTCCAGTACAGATACACCTTCATCGAGTGTCAAGATAGAAAGTCTTATGAAATCTATTGCAGAAGACAACATAGAATCAGATCATCCAATATTTCCACTTGTAAGCAGAAATGTGGAGATACCACAACTTCTTGAAACAAATTCCTCTAGGCCCGACGCTTTTAACTTGGTCCAACTGAGCGCCGAAGTAAGGGAATCCATTCAGTTAGATGACATGGAAGAAGAACCTGGTTCAGCAGATTCTCGACAATCTTCTGTATCAACTGCAACAGGAGGTTACATTGGCTGCACTGACTTCTTAGAACCAAATAATATTTCAATTTCTTCTGTCTCCGTAATTCTAGCGCCCTTTTATCGTGGGACTCAGAAGATACAAATCTTGCACAACAATGCTGAATTGCAAGTTTGCTCTAGATGCCTGAAGGTGCGGTTTGGAATTAGTACTAGGTTTGTTGATTATGCTGGTCGGCCACGGTTGAGTTTTGTGGTGGATGCATCATCAGACCTATGCCAACTTTTGGATGCAATTGATAATCTTGCGCAGAAATTAAATGAGGATACAGGTAGCATGTCAGAATGGAGGCCTGTGGTAAACAGAAAGCCTGGCTTTATGAACTGTCCTACCATTCGTTTAAAGTAAGTTCTGAACTTCCTTTCTTTCTTTCTAGACAAGTGAATCTGCCAATTTTTCCTGTTATTAGAGACCAGGAGAGCTTTTGCTTCTACTGTATTTTCCTGGCATGCCCTTGATGCATATGAGATCAGATTTTCCTTTTCCGTTATGCTTTCTAATGTAAGATCAGACATGTCTGCTAGTGCATATGCTAGTCTTCCTTAAGATTTTCCAACCTGATGCACAAGTAATAGATGAGCTTTTAGTGCATGGCTAATCCAGGCTTTCCTAATTTCTATTGAATGTATTATGATATTTTCTCTCTCCTGTCGTTCACACCTCCACAGCTCCACTTACCAGGACAACGAGCCCTTTTACTGAATCAATATCCCTCTCGCGCTTCAAACTAATATTATACTGTATGTGAATGTGCAGTTTACCAACTGTGGTGGATGCTAATATCTCCCGCTGGGTCACAGAGATATACCAGAAAGAGTCTTCCACAACACAGAAGCTCATGTTCAGTAGGTTTGATGCGGCAGAACTGGATTCCTTGATTACACCAGGAACTCTTTTGGATGCATATTTCTCAGTGGATTCATACGACTACCAACAGACTGCAGGCATCCGCTTGGTGGCGAAAAAGTTAGTTGTGCATTCCTCCTGATAGATGAGGTGCCTCATTGACAGGATAACTTAAGTGTTTTTACAATTTGCTTCTGATGGCTATGTAGTTCTCTAATGAGGGAGTAGCCTGTACTGTCTGACAAGAATGACATTGCTTCCTCTAATCTAATAAATTGGGTGATTTTTCAACTTATTACAAGTATGAATGACCTTTATACGCATCCCTCTGTTGTTTGTCTGAACATCCGAGTGACTTAATGCAGCAGTAGATATAGCTCTACAGAATAAAAATGTCAAGATACACGTAATTTTTTATTAAACTTTTCTCTGACAAGCTTTACAACAAGGAGAAGGGTATGTCATCGTATATAATGTGTTTTGATCACAAGTAGGGATAAAATTTGTATCAGATCCAAAAGGGAGCCGTCCTTTCGGAAGGAAAGTAGATGATCCTGTTAGTTTCTATCATAAACAAGAGAAAATTTCACTTTATACCCATTAAACCCAAACTATTTACCCTTAAATACCCAAACCTAAACTATTTACTTTTCCTACCTATGCAATCAAGACTATTTACCCGGCCCACAGCTATTTGCCTTCCCATTTGATTCAAAGTGTGAAGGACATGACGAAAAGATACCAGACTTTATTTTCATCTTCTTCTTTCTCTCTCCTACTTGTTAGATTTTTATTATTTTTCTGTTCCACAGCTTACATAACTTCGCTCCTTCTTTCTTCTTCTTGAATTTTTCTCTATGTGTGTGTAAATTTTGAAGCCCTTTGTTATTTCTGCGATTTTCTTTCTGCTTACTTGTTTCAAGGATTTGGCTCAGTTAATTTACTTAATTCTTTTTCCTCTACTTTTTCTTCCGAATCTATCCCTTTGTTTTTGTTTCGTGTTGTGTTTATTTTGTCATTTTTTGGCTACTTGTTTGTAGTACGAGTGTTGCGAGCAGGAAATGGAGAGAGGGGGTGAAAGAATCCTTAGCTAGAAGAGAAAGTTTGAGTTTTTCTGGTTTCCTAGATCTAGATTTTTGTGTATTTGAATATCCACCATTGTTGGGCTTGAAGCTCAATTTTATTTTTGAAGATTTCTTGTTTGATTCAAAGTGGGTGCTGTTAAATATTGCTTATAGTACCTTCTGGAAGTTCATACTGAATTTTGATAGCGTTTGGAGCTGATTTGAGGTGATTGAGATCGAAATTTTCAGTTGAAAATCGAAGAAGAACACAGCTACAATATACCGCTACGGTATACAATATGTTGTAGGATACAATATACCAATAGGGTATACAATACTGCAACACTATACTATTATAGTTTACAAAACAGTATACCGCTACAGTATACTAATATACTATAGGAGTATATAGTTATACTGCAACAGTATACTATTATAGTATACAATATATTGTTATGGTATACTGTAATAATATGCAAGATACTGTAGCAATATGTTGTAATAGTATACAATATACTATAATAGTATACTTATTACCCGTAAATTCACTTGCTTTTTCCCTTTTAATTTGTTTTAAGCTTTTACCCAGCGTGAGAGGCAAATTAAAAAATCCAAAAAAATAAAAAATTATAGTATGCTATATGATGTAATGGTATACTCTACGATTAGATCCTTTTAGAATTTTTTAAATTTCTTATTGACAACTGATGTTATTTCATTTTAATAATTGAACTAAATTTTTTTTAACTCTTTGCGTACAATTGTATACCCTATTGGTATAGCTATATACTATACTGGTATCATATGTTAGTTAATATTATTTTTGTTGTATTAGCTACATTTAATTGGTACACAATTTGATTTTTCTTTAGTAATAATATTAAAAAAAAGAATAATAAAAAATAGTGAAAACAGTAAATGAAATTAGATTATGAAGAGAAAAAGAATATAAAAAAAGGAAGTTAAATGAAATTAGAAAAGGAAAAAAGAAAAAAAGAAGAAGAAGAAAACAAGAAAAAAAAAGGAGAAAAGAAAAAAAAAGAAAAAAGAAAAGAAAAGAAGCATAGTAATAAAAAAGAATTGGAGAATAAAGAAAAAAATTCCCCACAAAACCTACTATGGGTAGGAAATGTAATTAGTTTATGGGTAGGAAAACAAATGGGTAGACAAGGGTAAATAGTTTTGTTTTTGTGGGTAACTGTGTCAAAACCCGNTATGAAGAGAAAAAGAATATAAAAAAAGGAAGTTAAATGAAATTAGAAAAGGAAAAAAGAAAAAAAGAAGAAGAAGAAAACAAGAAAAAAAAAGGAGAAAAGAAAAGAAAAGAAGCATAGAAATAAAAAGAATTGGAGAATAAAGAAAAAAATTCCCCACAAAACCTACTATGGGTAGGAAATGTAATTAGTTTATGGGTAGGAAAACAAATGGGTAGACAAGGGTAAATAGTTTTGTTTTTGTGGGTAACTGTGTCAAAACCCCCATAAACAACTTAGGTGGTGCAAGGTCCCCGTAGCGTTAAGCAATGGTATGGTAAAGTGTTTTTCCGTTGGATACTCTTTGCTATCAAGTAGTTACACTTGGTCACTTCCTGTCCTGAATCGGAAATGAAAACGGTCATTCTTCTCTGCATTTCAGTTCGACTCGCAATTCACTTCTGATTCCGTGTTCCATAGCCTGACGATACAGGCGTGGATGCAACTCAGCGAGTGAAATGCGCGTGCTTGGCTTTGCTCGTATTGCTGTGGAATCCGATCTATATGAATTATGATATAACCTTCTCAATAATGGCTCAGTTGCGGGAAGAGTTGGTGCTATTGTGGGAAGACCTTCTAACCTGGAGTTGCCGTTTCCCTTTTAAACAAGTTGTGCTTCAGAAAACAACATACTAACATATTCTGGAGTTCATCTTCAAAAGCATTGGTCTCAAAGTATGAAGCAAAAAGAAGAGATAATTGCAACTTTAGTCCCCTTCAGTACAGTTATAGCAAACTCTTCGGTCCTTTTCCCCGCCCATTTAGTCGATGCTTTACATTCTACAAAACGTGTTAAATTCATAGCCATCAAGACTTGGCAATAAATCCCCAAATCTCTCCCCTACTTAGAATAAATAAGCCTTAATAGTACCCAAAAGGGGAAATAATTTTGCTATAAAAAGAATTAGGAAAAGGCATTCATGAGCTCAAGCCACTTCAAATTCGGCACCTTAGCCTAACTGTTCCATTACGCAAATATTTGATAAAAGTATAAAGTTCATCCCTATAATAAATAGCCTTTGTAGATTGAAGTGGCAGAAACAATAACCAGCTTACCTGTCTACACAGATAAAAAAAAGGTTTAAATGTGAAGGACAATTGCAGGGTACATTTTTGACATGGCGTACCCTGGAGAAGAAGATTAAATGAGAAATCCAACATTTTGTATTTACTTTGAAGACAGGCACAATGTTCAAGGACAACCATCTACCATATAACTTTGACAATCACTCGAGCTAGATGAACTCCTAACAGATGAAAATTTCTAAATCATCTTGGAGTTTATCTAATCCATCATCTGGAAAGAGATCCAATGCAAGTTTACGAATTCTTACATCAATTGAAAGGACAAATAGGAGCAATATCAGGACCAATGCAAGGGAGGGCGTCTTGGGGTAAGGTAAAGCAAAGAAATTACTTAGTTGCATAGACTTAAATACACACTACTCGTAATCAGTCGGGGATCACAAGATCCAGACATGTTAATTGACAGCACCGAGAATTACTTAGGATGAGAAGCATGTTTAAGGTTTTGCGAAACACAAGCAGCAAAAAACCCAAACTGACCTCACGACCATACGATGAATTCAAATCAACGCATCAAAAAAATACATGTTTTTCTGTACTGAAAGCCGTCCATTGAGCTAATGGGACAGCTTAAAATAAAGAATTAAGAGGATTGCGAGGACCAACACAGCAACGATCGAACCAATGATCCATTTATTCCTGCTCATCCTCCTTGACATGGTTGTCAGTATCTTCTTGCTCCTACTAATGTTATCATCTACCCCATGAAGCTGTGAAACAAAGAAACTCGTTTGATCATCACATTTTCATATTTAGATACTCTAAGCTCGACCTTACTTTAACATTTACCTTCTTCACATGAAAACAATAACTTAATTTTAGTTCACTTCATATAGAATCTTTAGAAAAACGGCATATTAAAATTGGAGGATCTCTTTTTCTGTGTATGTCTTTTTCTTCTTAGTTCTTCATTCTAGCAGAGGAGACTAACAGATAAAAGACATACTGTGTCATGTGCATGCAGGAGAGACTGACGTTGCCCATGCAAATCTTGAAGAATTGAGACCCCAAGCTCCTCCGTTTCGAGCATCATTTTTCGACCTTGCCTGATCCTGTCACTTGACTGGTTTAGTCTCTCTGTTGACATCATCAACCTTTGTCTTTGATCAGCAGAGACCTATATCGCAATGCATCAACATTTGAAGGAGCAATTGCTTAATCTCTGATGAAAGCAATGTTATCACCAGAAGTAGAATATTACTCCCTCTGTGTCCCAATTTATATGTCATACTTTCCTTTTTAGTTTCTCTCAAAAAGAATGTCAGACTTCCTCGCTTAGAAATAATTTAACTTTAAACTTCTCATTTTACCCTTAATGAGATGATTTTTAGTCACATAAATGTCTATGGCTTATTTAGACCACAAGTTTGAAAAGTCTTTGTTTTTTTTGTTTTTTCTGAACTCCGTACACAGTCTAAATTTTTTATAAGAATTTTTTTATAAGAAATACTGTCATATAAATTGAAACGGAGAAAGTAGCAAAGGGAGATCTCAAAGAGCAATTCGAAGGAAAAGAAAATCATAGATAGCTCAACAAGGCTTGTGGATCATAATAAAGAAGAGAAATAATCTTTTACTGCCAAATACGAACTGACCCAAAACAAAGATATTCTGAAATACAAGAAACAACTTCTTGGAAGAAAAAAAGAGAAGGCCTTAGAGATGGAATAATTATAGGAAACTATTAAACCTACTTTTTTTTTTCTCTACTCAAATGACAGAAAAAACAACCTAAAAATGATATAGGATGGAGAACCCAAAGGTATCATAGTTGTACGACTGGAGACTGAAAAGTAGCAGACGAGGAAAAAAGTAGCAGCATTTTTAAGGAGGAATCAAAGTAAGAGTGAATCTACTTACGCAATACTCTCAAGGGTTAAAATCAACTTATTGTT